TCCTCTACATCGATTGGTTTTCTGCGCTGTAGGCCTTCTACAAACCGATTTATGAAATTTTTTATTAAGCACTGCTTTTTTGGAGAACGCCCCGCCCACCGGGGGTGGGTCTCCCTAATTCGATGTGACTTACCAATGCACACCTTACCCACTTTTTGGCCCAGTTTCGAGGTTGTTTTGTCACTGAAACTGAAATCTTGGTCTTCAGTACATTCATTTCGACGCACGCCACGCCCACTGTGGGCGGGGCTCCGCTTAGCTGATGTGTGTTTTGTACTTCTCGAGACCTTGCCCACCCATCCCACACTTGACCCGGTCTCTCCAGGCGGATCCCGAGGAGCTAGGGAATTTCGTGACAGACAGACAACGTGACAAACGCACATGCAGGCATAGCGCATTATATATCATCAGGATCATCCAAGGCTGAAGTCCAATCATTCAGCGATTCTCCGTAAATTCGTAACCACAGACTGTCCTTCCGGAAAACCCGGTCGGGTAGCTGGAATAATTTTGTTCTGCTTGAGGTTATGGAGAATATGGGTTTTCAACAATTTTTCAAAGAGCATGGAGAGAAAGGACGTTATATAAGTTTTTTTTATCCGAGAGAAACGCATTTTGGAGCATTTTGGAATAGGGGTAACATACGAGTGCTTCCAAAGCCGGGGCGCTTGCGAGGGCATAACAGACTGAACAAAAAACTTTGAAAAAAACTTGAACATTTACGCAAGGAGATACGCAAAAGCGTGGGCAACCTTCTTCACAAATACGGATGGAATTTCATTTGAGGTGATCGAATGTGAGAAAGATCATCAAGCCTTCATATATTTCTTTCGAATGGAAATGAGGGGATGTTCGCATTTCAATCTGAGCCAAGGGACCTGGGGATTGTTATCATCATGATCAAATGCCTTCTAAAACTCTCTTGCAAACGATGATCAAATGCCTTTCAAAACACTCTTGCAAAAGCATTAGCCAGACATTCAACAAAAGTTTACCCTCAAATATCATATTAGGAATTTGCGCTTTTTCACGAATCTTGGATCTCATGAATTTGAAAAAAACATCTTTTACCTTTGGATTCAATAATTTCATTCTCAGTGCTTTTATTAGTTTTCTTTGGTTGCTCAGATAATCTGGACGAGAAGGTTTTGAATTTCCGCCAGTCACTGGTAAGCTTAGCATACTGCAGCGAGCATTCTTTGTGATCCATCTGTGATCTTCATGTTTTGAAGGTAAGGGGTAAGTTAGGCGAAAGACATATGTAGGACAAGGAACACATAAATTGGATTGTATGTTCAAGAATGGCCAGAAACATCATGAATTTTCGTCCACTGAGGAAACTGACTCGAAGGGGTCGGTGCACAAAATGCTAAAGAGATTTTTTGGAAATCGGAACGCACCGTATTCCAGTTCTGATAATGTCAAATGAAGCACTGAAGTGATCGCTATCACCGATTGGTGACTTAACAGAAACATTGTTTATAAGCTCGGAGTCATTGCAAAAGAGGTCTAGGAAGTCTAATTCCCTGGTCGATTTGGTGAATATACTGCCTAAAGCCATGACAGTAGGGACAGCGATAGCCGCGAGATCACTAATGATAGAGTTGGCTAGTAGGGCATTAGTGAGATAGCATATGATGTAGAAGGGATCTGTAGACACAAAAATTAAACGCAATAATCGACCAGCAAATGCTAATTCTGGTAGCAGTGATTTGTATCTTTGCTAAAGAATTGATAAGCCAATTGTAAAATTCAAGTTTCATAGGACATGAGCCAACCCACTTCCAGCTCTGCCGCTCCGGTCACAACGAATATTCTCTATAGTTCTGAATCAAGTTGCTCAGCATGGATGCCACAAGATGATGCTCCTTGAACCGCGTTTCCGAGAAGAGTTAATACAAGTCATACTCATGATATATAGAAAGTAGATCAAGTAAAGGGCATCTTAGGAAAGGATCTGAGATTTCAATAAAAAAAATTAGAGATAGTAGAACACGAATAGGAAGTACGACATCTATTAATAAAACACCGAACGAGGACCTCCTAAGTTCCCTGGGAGGAGGCAGTAGAAGGCATAAGAGTAGAGTCAGTGTCAACAAAACTGTTGCGCGACAGTCTCGGGGTAGCATATGGACGTTAGCTCATCGAAGCGAGCATTCCTCTTGCTTTCAAAACTCGAATCCCGAGGTAGCTCTAGTTCGGGAGAAAACCGTGATGTGAACGCTTTTGCGAACTATCCAATGCTGGAAGTAGGGGTAGAGGGAATAAACTTTGGAAGTAATGTGATTCTATACTGGCAAGATATTTGTGCGTCCTAATTGGATATTTACTGCTGTAGGGGCACATTTCGACTTTCATATATTGCGATTCCCATGAGCTCGGAGATCCCACAGTCCTTTAACAACCAGTTGTAGACGCTCCGACTCAAGAAAATCGATTAATGACTGGAAATGAATGGCCGATAGCTTAGGAGAGGGACTCCAATAATTTCCAGAAGCCGTTTAGCGAAGCAATACCTAATTTTTCGAGAAGAATGGGAATTTCTTGCGCAAATGACTTCTCACGCTTTGACATTTCGTTACGCCTTGATAAGAGCCCGGAAAGCCGTCTTGGCTGGTGCCAGCGCGAAGGCGTATAACAACATATAACATAACACATACATGTACAACTTCTTGCGGGTGGAGAGCCAGTGGAAGTCACTGGGCAAGATCTCTTGGCCTCTTTGAAAACACTTTGAAATGGTGTATTAAACATCAAGAATAAGAAAAACGTGCATCATTCGACAAGATACTTGCTGACCTGCTTCAGCGACCCAAAAAGTATAGATCACGGAGTCGCTCGTGACCTGCGCTCAATCGAAAAATCAAAAGCAGCTGGACATGCAGAATGCAGGATCAGCGGAATGAAGCAAGTAGCAGAACGAATAGCTAACAGCGACTCGAACGAACCAAGTATGGGCAAGTGGCTCCGAGTATGGTTATCAGAACACAAAGAAGCCATACGAGTCGAAATGCACGAAACTGCACGCTCGCGGGCAGGGCAGAGATCGGCATGAATGATTCAAGTTACTGAAAACAGCGAATCAGAAGATATTCTCAATACAGCTGTCACTGCGACACTCCTGATTACTATTCCAGTCGACGTGCACTGGGCATTCTTCGCAATAGCATTCCGAAAGCTGTCGTCGTTCTTCTCGGGCCAGTACACATCGCTTCATCTTACGAGCTGCATATAAATCTTCCCAGGTTTTCTTACTAATTGACTAGCGACACTATGAACAACTAACTCTTTTTATTTGCATGCTCAAATTCAGATGCACTTTTCTCCGTGACCGAGTCTCCGAGTGTAGTGGTTTTTAGAAGGCACACATATAAAAATACTAAAATCATTTCGGATTTTTTAATTACTCTTTTCTTAGAAGCAAGCCCCGGTAGCGGACCCAATAGAACTACCGCGTTCACTCGTGGCGTAGTATTATAGTTCCATACCCCCTCTGTGGGTCATACCCCCTCTGTGGGTATGGAACTACCACGCCACGAGTGGACGTGGTAGTTTCGTACCTGCAGAAGTCGTGCCACCTTCATCGCACAAAATGCGCGGATAGAGTACTAATCGTTACGGGCTTGTGACATCGAAACCATTCCCGCGCACTGTGGCTGTTATAAGGATCAACCATGACGGCCTCCGCTACACGCAACGTTGTTTGCGACGTAGCAGTTTATAGCACCCCAGAATAAGTGAAGGATCGGAAGGGAGCGATTGATGCAACCACAAACACAGACTCGTGAGAACACGCTCTGCCATCCTAGCATAAACTACTGCTAAAAGAGACGGGAGCCTTCAGGGTGTTCGGGACGTAATTAGCTGCTTTTTCTGCTCTCTTTTTCTTTTTCACATCACCCCCAGTTTCAGTATTGAACGCTCAAATACACTCATATCACCCCAAGGCTCTCCTCTAAGCTAGTTATAGCACATCAAAAATGAGGCCGATTTTCAGCTTCTCGAATACGTCAGTTCTTATGCCACCACGAGCGTTACAGCTTCACGAGCTTTTTTCGTTTGCGACCATACTGCCTAGCAATGGTTGTGTAACAGAGAGTAAACCCATGTGGGTGAGGAGAGCTCGTATATGGGAGATACGCCGTGTAGCCATGCTTGGATAGCTACATAGCATGGACAAACTTCACTCGGGGGACCCTCTCTTGCCCCTCGATTTGCGCATTAGGTGTGTCTCATCGGTTGACCTCGTCAACGCTAACAATCTCTCTGCTAGGCAGATGAAGCCTCAGGGTGGTGGCGGGCGAGCAGCGGCGACTGCGGCTCGGAGCTGCGAAACATGCGGGTTCGTTCATCGAGAGTGCTCGCCCCATGACATGGTCTAGCCACGAAACCACATGTGAAACTGAGGTGAAACTGGAGCCTGACCAACATGGATAATAGCCATCACGTTTTGCGCAAAATAACTGATGTTAGCGTCTATCAGCTCACGCATTCTCCTAAGTGGACTTTCAAATGAATCAGCGATTAGAAGCGCGGCCTAGGCGTGACGCACATCATGGCAAGTGAGGTCAGTGCAAGCGTATACTCCTCGTTTTCCAACACATCCGACGTCTAACATAAAATCGATTCTAAACGAAGTTACGACCATTGAAACCTAAAAAAACTTGCTTTTTTAAGCAAATGGCTCGAAGAACTCTCCCCAGAGAAAGTCCCAACGAGACAAATTTTTGAACTGGTAACTTTGAATAAGTTTCATTACTTTTTAGAAGGCTTGAATCTTGAAGTTTGTAATGCTGGGTTCAGCTTTCCAAATCAATGACTTTGAAAGCTTTGAAAGCTTAAAGCTTGACTTTTTTGAGCAATGAGAGGATAGATGAGGATTATTTAGAGAGAGGATTATTTGATTTTTTCTAATCAGAAGACCTTTGCGCAGAAACTTGAATTTGAAGAAAGTTGTGACGCTCGAAAGAGGAAGGTAAAAACTGCATTGTAATTTTATTTCTTCCTAAATAACTCAGTATTTTTGAATTGTTGGAGATTAAGTAAGCAGCACCCAGAAAGTCAAAGTCTCGCTGATCCAAATCCACCTCGACCTCCCGAAGTACCTGAAATTCAACAAAAAAAATGTTCGTCTAAATTTCAATATCCTCGTACGTCGCCTGTTCACGGTCAGCAAACGGGCTTCAGGACGCCAATGAGCGCGATTCAGCACTTTCAAAACGCGATACATATACGTTTCAGTAATTAATTCTTTGCCCAGAATTTCGAAATTGAAGAGCTAGGCAGCTCGGTGCCAAGTAAGTTGGGGCGTAAAAATTTTCAAAAAGTACCAACGGGTTGACCCTGCCCAGACGGCCATACTTGATCGTCGGGGCATATCATTCGTTGCGGATTGCATGTCGATCCGTATACTTAGGTCGAAAGCCTGCCTTTCCACTAGGTGAGCTTCCTTTCTGCGACCTCCGACATCATCATCAAGCCTTCTTTCAAGAGAGCAGGGTCGAATGATTGGCTGGCGTCTAGATTGCACTAAAACGATTGACATCTATGAATGCCTAAACGATTGAGCATTCTATTCGGGAGAATGAGAGCGACGGGGGAAAGCTAGAAGGTTTGAAGAAGAGAGAACTTGCTCTCAAGTTTCGTCCTCTGGGCCATTCGTAGTGTTCAGTACTTTCATAAGCTATTCAGTTTCTGCTTTTGTTGCGGGCTAGGAACATGTCGTAGATTAGCCCAGAGATACAAGAATGGCATACAAAACTGAGTCTGTCCTGCACCAATTAAGGGGGAAATTCGCGAGAAAACGTTGAACCTAAACCACAATCGTCGTCGTATCCATGTTTGTTCTTATAATTGTGCTAGACGATGCCCCTCATTACTTGTACTATATTTCAGGCCGCGCGATGCCATGTTAGAATCGTGTCCACCGAGAAATATCGAACGCTGGATCGAAACAAGGTGCGGTGGAAGGTTTTCGTCACGTCAGATGCGTGCGTCGAAAAGGCTCAGAAAAAGAGCAGAAGGATGTAGAAATGTCACCTGTATCACCTCTCGCCCAGCGGTTCATTAGGTTCCGCAAAGGGCGTCAAAAATCGCTCCGCCCGTTCCTTGTTGTTTTCTCGCACACTTTATTGCATAGTCCTCTACAAAAAAACGAAGCTCTTCATTTCTTTCGTAGACATGCAACTTCAAACAATCTCGCCTCGTTCACCAATGTACAAAATGTTTTATTATTTAGTTTACAATGTGCTGAATGAATAAACGCGGCGGCCTGTGGACGGCACGGGGGGGGCGGGCGGGGATGATCGCCCGTCCAGAGCGAACCTCGCAGAGGTGGGACGGTCGGGTACGGACGGTCCCAGGGCCGGGGCGGCGAGGCCGGCGGCGTGTCTAGGGGGCCAAGGCCCTGTATTTCCGGGCCGTTTGCAGGCCGGGGGGCCGTTCCCTGACGACTCGCTCACGCGTCCCGGCGCGCGGTCGGAGGCGGCGGGCAGGGAAGCCCGCGGGGCCGGTGGGTGTGTGCGTGTTGCCATGGAATCTGGCGCCCTTCATACCTCGAACGCACGGGCACCGCGGTGCATGGGCGTCCCGGCGCGATGCCCTGAAGACCTCGGCACGGACGCCGGGAGCTAGTAGCGTAACAATTTAAAATCATCCGATCCTGTTTTATAAACGTTTCTGCTATACTGGTTTCCCCTCGTATACTGCAGTATGAGCCAAATTTAAAGGGTACTATGTCTCTTCGCAACATTATTTTACAATTTCAAATGCGTTTTTGCACACCTCCTTTGAGGCACGCCTTAGGCATGCCTCCAACAGTGTTGCAATAGCGCACAGAACTGGCGTGTTTGTTGCGCAAGAATTTGAAAGTATTGCTGCAAAATTGCCTGCAGTAAAGAAAAAAGCTTGCGAAGGAGTTTGAGTTAAGCGTATGCGAACCATCCTAATGCGGGGTGCTACGGCAATGACTGGACACCCGGACAAGAGAGTATGTGGGAGGTAAGGGATGGACGAAAGGGCAAAAGGCAACAGCGTGCATGACATTGCTTCAGACAAGGGAGGATCTTCATGCTTTCCGAAGTTTCAGAAAATCTGGAAGTCATGGTTGCCCTAGTAGACCGTTAAAGTCTAAGGAACTCAAACGGCGACGTACGCTAGATGTGACGCTAGATGATTCAGCACTCATCAATGTGTAAAGAAACCTTAGTGCTTTTCCAGCAACGATAAGGGCGAGAAGCCTCAAGATAACCTGAGCCAAAGAGTCACGAGAAGCTCTTTGAGCAGATGCAGACAAAACCTTCATAGCAGACAATGCTCGAGGAAATTCCCGTTTAGCTGAAGCAGAAAGTTTTCAGTGAGTCTAGAAGCATGAATGATGGAATCATTTCTGGTCATCCATGGGAATTCTTATCCAATCAAATTTCTTCGTGCATCCCTCAACGCCAATCCAACTCAACAATTTTCTGATTTCCTTCCAACTCTCAATCCCTGAAATCGCTCCACGTACGGGTCCATCAAAGAAAGAGGAATTGGTTCTTGATTCACTGTAATACATTGAACAGCGGATCTTGCGACTGCGCAGGAAAACGCTAGGGAGAAGCAGAAGAAGAAGAAGATTTAATGCGATAGAATGACGTTCCTATGAAATACCTATGTACACAAAATACAGAGAGTAATGATCGTTGCTGGAACAGTAAATATAAAAAACACGCAAAGCCGAAAAAATAAAAATAAAAAAATCTATCTCTTGCGAGATGCTGCTGCAGTCTGAGGCACTTAGGTGTGCATTTCATCTGACCACATGACGCGAAATTAAAACACGGATCTTATTCTAGCAAATATTCGAGCTCTCTCGTTTCTCATATTTTTTTAAAAAAGAATCATAGTATACCATTTTTGAGGGAACACAGATCATTACAGCCTCTGAGCATAAAGATGCGAGGGCAAACTATAGGGCATTGATCAATACATTCAGCATTGTGTTTTTGGATACGCCGTGCTTTCTTCCTCTATTCAGGCTCGTAGTGGCTCTTGAATGTGATCTGGTCTACACAGTGACTTTCGGGAGCGCCCTTCATAGCTTCATACAGCTATCACAGTATTTCATACTTACTCTTATTTTTGGCGTGGAGTGATGCAATGGAAAATGAGGCCGGCTCCTTATTTTGTTTATTTTTATATTTATACCTATTCATAATATCGCATTTCCTTTGAAAAATTCGTAAATCTCTTGAAATGTCTTCCAATGTGACTATAAC